TCTACTGTTTGAAAAGACTTTTGTTGGAAATGAATACTCCCAAGGGACATAATTCAGCTTTTTCATAGACTGATACAGGCAAGAAAGGCAACTTTACAGCTGAGTATTTTGCATATTTAATGTTATAAGTGTCTAATATCTTTGTTTTTATCATCCCAAGACAGAATAATGGATTTTATAACAAGTTCTGAAATTTTGAACCACAATATGGCATATACTAAAGCATGGAATGGAGATTAGTATGAAAAATCTTGAATTTGTGCTTATGTTGTAAATTTTGGATAAATTGAATACAAATTGAATGGAATTGTCATTTTTATCTGTTTGAATGGTACTGTTTATTATTCTTTTTAAATAAGATAAGATATGATTGGATACAGGTTGTTTATTAAGCCTTATCTGAAAGAAGTACAGAAAGAGGTAAACCAGCATATAGGGGTGGGGACATGAAATGGTCCATGTTTCTTTAGGTAATGGGGACATACAAGAATTTATTATAGCCAAGGTTTTCACAATAACCCAGTATAGCATTAATGGTGTCATAAGAATTCTTTATATCCTTATGTCACAGTATAGGGAAAACGGTACTATTACATTTTCCTAGCATTAGGTTGGCCTTTTGTGTACCCAAGGCAGGTGAAGGAAGTCAGCTTAGGAGCGCTGTGATTGGATGTAAGGGTACAATATATTTTTTTATTTATCTATGAATAACTGCAGTGTGTATATTTACAATATAAATTTTGAAACCCATTGAAATATTTTCTAGAGAATTATTCGAAAAGACTTCCAAAATTTCATAAATTTAATGTAAAATGACGGTGGGCATGGATAACATAAACAAGCTCCGTTGGAAGTTGGTCATGATACTATCTTTAATTTTTAAAACAGAGTAATAAAGTACTAACACCACACATAACTGTTTTGTCCAGGTTTTTATTATAAAAAGGGGTAAATTTAGAAAGCGTTAGTATTGTCGACTATGGCAGAATAAATAGTACCGTTTTCCCTATACTGAAGATAGCAAGGGAAATCAAAATCAATCAGACTTCAGTTATATTACACTATTTTGAAGCTTTTGATTAATACGTTTGATTTTTATCACCAAGAATAGAAATTTTTCACTGAGACCAATACTGTGTTGAGAAAAGTGCTGAGTCATCATAATAAGTCAAATTGATGGGTAATGATATAAAACTTCATTCTAGGATTTCAATATTAACTATATTGTATAAAATGCACCTAACTCTAGTTCTTTTGTATTTGTTTTCACCTTTCGCAATGATTAATTCAATTGGAAACACAAGAATTCAAGTCGCGACAAATATTTTTAACTGAAATATTTGCCTTTTTTGCTTTGTAATTCCCTAAATGTATCCCTTGGGTATTTCTCAAGACATAATCTATTAAATTGGGAAATTGTCTGGTTAAGTTTGTACTGTTTATGGAGTAAGGCAATATTTGGTCACAATAGAAGCATTTTCAGTATAAAATTTGTCCATCTAAGAAAAAAAGAGGCCCAATTGAGGCTAAATTTAGGTAGATTTTATATTCTCCTGTGTAAAGAATTGATCACATTCTTGGCAATTCATGCAGCAAATGTTTGAATAGTGCTTCATTTTGTAGTTTCTATCTTTTATTATATCAAGCATATATAATTTTTCATTTTCTACTGTTTGAAAAGACTTTTGTTGGAAATGAATACTCCCAAGGGACATAATTCAGCTTTTTCATAGACTGATACAGGCAAGAAAGGCAACTTTACAGCTGAGTATTTTGCATATTTAATGTTATAAGTGTCTAAAATCTTTGTTTTTATCATCCCAAGACAGAATAATGGATTTTATAACAAGTTCTGAAATTTTGAACCACAATATGGCATATACTAAAGCATGGAATGGAGATTAGTATGAAAAATCTTGAATTTGTGCTTATGTTGTAAATTTTGGATAAATTGAATACAAATTGAATGGAATTGTCATTTTTATCTGTTTGAATGGTACTGTTTATTATTCTTTTTAAATAAGATAAGATATGATTGGATACAGGTTGTTTATTAAGCCTTATCTGAAAGAAGTACAGAAAGAGGTAAACCAGCATATAGGGGTGGGGACATGAAATGGTCCATGTTTCTTTAGGTAATGGGGACATACAAGAATTTATTATAGCCAAGGTTTTCACAATAACCCAGTATAGCATTAATGGTGTCATAAGAATTCTTTATATCCTTATGTCACAGTATAGGGAAAACGGTACTATTACATTTTCCTAGCATTAGGTTGGCCTTTTGTGTACCCAAGGCAGGTGAAGGAAGTCAGCTTAGGAGCGCTGTGATTGGATGTAAGGGTACAATATATTTTTTTATTTATCTATGAATAACTGCAGTGTGTATATTTACAATATAAATTTTGAAACCCATTGAAATATTTTCTAGAGAATTATTCGAAAAGACTTCCAAAATTTCATAAATTTAATGTAAAATGACGGTGGGCATGGATAACATAAATAAGCTCCGTTGGAAGTTGGTCATGATACTATTTGGCTTCAATTTTTAAAACAGAGTAATAAAGTACTAACACCACACATAACTGTTTTGTCCAGGTTTTTATTATAAAAAGGGGTAAATTTAGAAAGCGTTAGTATTGTCGACTATGGCAGAATAAATAGTACCGTTTTCCCTATAGATCTATACATGAATATTTAAAATCATTAAAATGGATTCAGTGACCTTAACCCAAGGGTTCAAGTAAATGCTTCCGCATTCAAATGTCTTGAAGACATAATGCTTTTCTAAAGTTAATGTTTTCTTTTATATAATGTTTAAGTCCTTCCATATGAGGTTTTGATGAAGTTCCCTATTTAGTAAAATAACTTTTTTTTTATAAAGTGTAGTTCATAATTTTTATAGAGGCCAAAAATGATAATATTTATTGCTTCATATGGTGTCAGAAGTCTGCTACAGTGTGTCGGACCCACAGTTAGTGTTCTATTATTTTTGGTTCTTCCTAGCATAATGTACATAAATAACAACGTACAAGGTACATAATTCTGTATTGAAATCAACAGATAATTGACTTTGAACTAGCTTTCAGCAATTGCGAGTACTTTTATTTCGGTGCTTTCTGTCTATTGTTTTTATGTTAGTTGATTTTGTGCCTCGTACCAATCTGTTGAATTAAGTCAATTGCATCTGATTTTTACAGTTTGTTCTTATGTTGGGCTGTAACACTACTGTTCCATGTGTGGGGAGGGTTGAGCCCTCATACACATGTTTAACCCTGCCATATTCTTTATGTGCCTATCCCAAGTCAGGAGCCCGTAGTTCAGCGGTTGTCCTTTGTTCATATCTGTCATATTTTTTCAATCGTGTTTTGTTATAAATTAGGCCGTTAGTTTTCTGAATTGAAATGTTTCACATTTTTCATGTCGGGCCTTTTATAACAGACTATACGGTATGGGTTTTTCTCATTGTTGAAGGCCGTACGGTTGCCTATAATTGCCTACATCCACTTCATTTGAACTTTCAAATTGATAGATAGTTGTCTCATTGGCAATATTACTACATATCCTTATTTTTATATAGCTTGATATTTTTTTAGAAAACTAAGTAACACAATAATGTATTTTTTTCCCCGATCTCAAACAACCTTTCCCTTTCGAGTTTATTAAACACCTTCACAAGGAACGACAAAAATTGCCTAACAAAGTCCAAGAAAGTGGTTAACTTTCTGAAACTCAAAATAAGTTTAGATTCTGTCTATCTATATGCTGCTAGGCTTTAAAACTTTTTCCTGTTACACAGGTTTGTCTCTACCCAGGGTAATGGTCGTAGTGTAAACACAACTATTTTGTCCATTTTGTTATGATGAACCTTACGTGAGTGTAAGTAACTTTGAAATGTTTGAAACTGTTTTCACAATGAGTGGTTCAAAATCTTCAATAATAATCTCACATATGGTAAGTATAAAATACAAATAAATAGTTTTTGAAAATTAAAATCAAAACGACCAAACATGTTTCTAATGGAGGTTTACAAATGAATCAAACTCACCATTTTGTTGGTTTCTTTTTAACATTCTGCTGAATATTACCAACAACCCAATAAAACGGTGATTCCGATTCATTTGCGACTTGATTTTCAGTAACTGTATAAATTTGCAATTACTCCTAAATACAACTATAAGGTGTTACTGACCGTTTGTGCTGTTTCAAGTTTTCTCTTTATACAAGTGTTCATCATAAACGAAAAAAAATAGTGAAAATCATCATTGAATGGTACAAACTCCAATTAATATGTTGTCACTGATTTGTAAATTTTGTCAAGCTGGCCAGTTTCGATGCTAAAAGTTTCTCTCTATCTATTATAGTTATCATGGTAATGACCAAAACTGCAAAAAATGGAACAAAAAACTTTTCGTTGAAAGGCAATAACTTCTATAAGTAGTCGACTAACGATTTCAGTCGTTTGGACTTTTTCTTTGGCGATCGTGTCTAGTTGATCATCCTAGTTGTTTACAATCTGTCTCTATCTATTATAGTTTTAGTTAAAAAAAAATGGCTTAAACTCATTGGAGAGCCATTAACTACTATAATGAGTATTCTGCTAATTTCGGCCATTTACATTATTTGTACATCTTTTATTTGCTAATCTTTTTTGCTGTTTAAGGTTTCTATTTATCTTCTATAATTTTCCTCGAAAATGTAAAAAAGAGTCAAAATAAGTCGACTAACTATCCACATTAATACTCTTTTCCCAACGACAACTATTAAAAGGAGTCGATTACTCATGATTGAGACCTCCACCCAACCACACAGAAAAACCATCTAAAGATTGTAATAATTACTCTTCTACAAAAGACAGGTGCCTATAGGGATGTCAAGCTCAATAAACCGACTCATTAACGTTAATTATTGTAATATTTCATAATTATAAATGGAAATATTACAAAAAAATTATAATTAACTTATATCCTGAAAGCTGAATATAGCAATATAACAAAACAAAAACAAAATCTATTTGAGAGGAAGAATCAACACGATATAATGCGCATCATACTTCAATAACATAGATAAAATATAACAATTTTCATAGTTACATTATACAATACACTCACGTATAACTTTTAGAAGTAATCAATAATTCACGACAAAAATGCAATCGTATCTCCTCCGCTTCACCTTCCTCCTAGGAAAGCGTGCAATCGTATCCATTGATATCTCCTCCGCTCCAAATTCCTCCTAGGAAAGCGGTAGATTTGTTTCTTCCAAAGTCGACAATACTAACATTTTCTCAATTACCACTTTTTATAATAAAAACCTGGACAAAAAAGTTATGTGTGATATTAGAACTTTATCATTCTGTTTTACAAATGAAGCCTAATAGTATCATGACCATCTTCGAACGGAGCTTGTTTATGGTATCCATGCCCACCGTCATTTTACATCAAATTTATGAAAATTTTGAAGCCTTTTCGAATAATTCTCAAGAAAATATTTCAATGAGTTTCAAAATTTATATTGTAAATTTACACACTGTAGTTATTCATAAATAAATAAAAAATATATATATATTGTTCCCATACATCTAATCACAGCGCCCCTAAGTTGACTTCCTTCACCCGCCTAGGGTACTCGAAAAGCTCACCTGAGGCCGGGGAAATGTAATACTACTTTTTTCCCTCTATTGCAACGTCAGTAAATAAGAAAAACAAAGGCACTGAATCGGTGATTTATTGTAAAAACAGATCACATGAAGTGGCCAGTATATAAGTTCCTGATACTAAACAGTTGAATCGACAAATTGCACTAGTTCATAACCTGGCTCCACCGAACTAAAATAATTGACTATGGCCTAAAACAAAACAAAAAATATTAACACTTTCATTATATATTTAATAATAATTTGATTCTTTAATGAATACAGACCTTCTAAAATTCAAACTGACCACACGCACGATACACGCACGCACGATACACGCACGGTGAATGCACGATACACGCACGGTGAATGCACGATACACGATACACGCACGATGAGCGATGAGCGTTACACGGAGGATTAACGAAAAATGAATGATGAATGATGAACGCACGATACACGCACGATGCACGATGAATGATGAACACACGATACACGCACGGTGAATGATTCATTGACGAATGAACGATAAGCGCTTAATACACGGTTCTCAAAGCCATTTTATTTGGAATTGCATTTAAAATTGATGTATGATAATGAAAATCTATAAGGGTATACAAATTTTAGATATCTCGCTTTCTGTGTTGATTGGTCGACAGTTTTACTAAACACTCCATGTATTAAATAAATTAATTGTAGTATAGTATTTCCAATATCAATGAGTGTTGTCAAATTATAAAACTCATCGATTTTATAATTCTACTTAATATAAATAATTTATAAATTGCTACGTTTTAAAGAGTGGCGATTCCAGCCATTTTTAAAAAGAGGGTTCTCAACCCAGGATAAAAGGGGTGGTTTTAACCATATGTCCCCATTCAAATGCATTGACCCAACCCCCTTCTTTTTATCTGCCTAAATTTGTAACCTTAACTAATTAATTATCATATGTTTACGTTCCGAAATTTAGGAAATATTTGTATGTTTCGAAGTTTAGTATGATGTCCATTATCACTGAACTAAAATTCATTTTTGTTTAGGGACCAGCTGAAAAACGCCTTCGGTGCGGGATTTTCTACCCATTGGTGGCCTTCGACTGTTTTCTGCCTATACGTCTAAACACTGCTAAGGACTAATAATATGCCACTAAGGACTAGAAAGGACGTGTTACTTGTACTCTGTTTTCATACAATGGTAGAGATAGATAGATTTTTATTACATAAATTCCAATTTTTAAAGAAAAAGAATCACCATTAAATGAGTAGTTGAACAATATTTGGAACGTGCCGGTTTTTCCTTGATATTGCCGAAAATCAGTGATCCGACTGACACGAGCGAACATACATAACAACTGATTAAACAATCATAATCTCTTTTTTTTACTTAAGTTACAATGTTCCTTATATTATCAGAATCGTATGAGTTAATTTAGAGCAAAATATATAATTTGTCAGAAAAATCTGATTCGTACAAATTAATTAGAAATAGCTAAGAAAATGAAATTTACCAAATAATGAGAAAATTTAAACATTTGTAATACCAAATACTTCATAATATACTTCTGAAACGACTTTTCGTCCTGAATATGCATGAAATTTTTGCCACTGGACGTTTAAACAACCACTGAATAATCAATCAATCAAATTTTCCTCTCAGTAAAAATGAATTAAACAATATAAGCCACAATTGTATCCATCACTTGGTGTCTGTTGTTTGTTTGTACAGTAAACATACTGAATCTTTTTATACAATTTCAAGTATGTAATAAAATTCATACATATTTTCAAACATCCTGGCACTTCAAATTTCTAGGAGGTGAGATTCTCGGGGTTTTACCTGAAACTCTTTGGGAAATACAATTTTTAATTCCAATTCCAATTCCAAACTGTAAAAGATATCCCAAAATTTTTTTAAAATGCATTTCCAATTTGATAAGGAGATTTGAAAAAAAAAACGATCTCATTGGTAATTGAAATTATTTAGTGCAATCATTTTGTGTCCGCCGTTGTCTTTCATACATATCAATTGGTGTAACCACTGTTTGCTGTTCGTTATCTGTTGTTTATGGCAGTCAGGCCTCGCGATCGGTCTCCAAATTTAAGCCCCCACTTAGGTAAATTAATGATCATTTATAAGGGGGGGGGGGGCTTTTTTCTCGGGACAAACATTATTTTCCTTCCTTAAAAACAACTTAACAATTTTCTATATTTTTAATTTAATCATAAACCGATGAATATTAAATGATTTTTAAAAAATTTTAAAAAAAAATTTTATTCTAATATATCTAAATATCTGGGTTATTTTCTTATCCAAATAATTATTTTTTCATTTTTTTAAGGAAAAAGTGTTATCAGTTATGGCCCCCTCATTTTAGACATGACATTTTGCTTGATACTGTATGAAGATTATTCGTTGCAACTTTTATCAAGAAATTACCGACTTTTTTTTAACTAGATAAATATACAACAAAAATACCGTTTTTTTTCTTCTTATATCAATTTCTTTTCACAAAAATTAAATATTAACAAAGAATTGTTACACAAATGTAGAGCCCAATTTTGTAACGAAGATATTCCTAATCTCTTTACCGAAATCCGCATATCTTTATCTTTTGAAACAAAAAAGTTAAGGATGTCTGTTCAAAGGACAAAAATGTCCAAGAAACCGAAATGTTATAAGTAAATGTCGAATAATTCAAACCCATTTGTCTTTTAAATTAAGCACATGAAAATATAATTTTTATTACATATACAAATTGATTTTGTAAAAATTAGCTTGTATATTTGTGAACTTTTGTAAAAAAAAATCACTGTGGTTCTAAAACTGTATCACATGCCCATAATTGTCCTAAAGCTAAATGTCATCGTCAGATTATGAGGGTCTGAATAGGGATTCATTATTTCTGTATTCTATCATTTTAGGCAATTTATTCTAATCGTTATACCTTTTGTCGATCATTATTTATTCCATATATTCTAGTACCTCATCATTTTCTTTTCTATATATTTGTCTGGTTATTTTTTGTATTCTTTATTTTTTTGTCAATAATTTTCTATTCTATAAACCCCTATCCACACCCTCATGTATAATGGAAGACGATAAACATTTTAGTATACATACCACCCGTTGTCACTTTCACCTGACATACAAACCACAAATTGTTATTTTTACCTGGACACGGGACTTATATAATTACGTAATAATAATGGATATAGTAAATTCAGTAGAATATAACCTGTATCAACGCACTGGCTTGTTAAATGAATATTGATCTGACAACTGTTTATCATATTTTTAGTTATTTTAAAATTGAGAATGGAAATGATGAATATGTCAAACAGACAACAACCCGAAAAGAGCAGATGACAGCCGAAGGCCACCATATTTGATAAGGTTTTAGTTTCTAATGAGACAGTAACCATCGTATTTTCAGAAAATCTCTAAACGGATTATGAGAGTTTAGCGACCTTGACTGGCTATACAGCCCAAGCACGGTCGGTCTCTAAAAGTTGCCGAATTTAAGAGCATATATCAAGAGATAGGCTTTACCTAGCTTTAGGTGTTTAAAAAAATATCCATTTAAGAACCAAATGTGGCTTCTTTATATTTATACCAAAATTGAGTTCAAGGCAGTATTTTGTCGAAGAGAACAATTACACAAAGTGCAACATGCGAGAAGAGGTTTCATTTCCCTTATTTATTTTTTATCTAAGTGAGTAATCTTTTGAGATTACTTCACGGAAATATATTTTAAATGAAAAGTTGCAACTGGATGCATCCCTAAAAAACAAATTTAAATGTATATATATATATATATATATATATAAATATATATAATTTAAATTTGTTTGTTATATATATATATATATATATAAAATGACGGATATTCGTCAATCAGACAGCAATCCAACATAAACACGAGTAAGTTACCTGACATCTAGAATAAGAGGTTTATGCATACCCCGTGCTGGTCAACTTTCTGAGTTGTGGGTAAAATTCAATATACATGTAGGACTGTGAAACGGGAAATATACGAAAGATTTGTTTTAATGTACGATGAAGTGTCATTCCCTCAATACATACGGGTCCACCGTGAAACTATTCTTATGATTATATAACGGTAAATGATGATCTCATTAGAAGATCAAATTAAGTAAAAATACATGTTGAAGCAAGAATAATTTCCACATGCAAAACATCAAATAGGACGATCTCTAAATTAGTACGCGGCAACTTTAACTATTACATTCATAGACAATAACACTAGTAAATGCTTTATATCCTGACATTGAAACAAATATACTGCTCATAATAATTGCACATATGTAGACTTTATCCTAGGTATCCCGCGTTATATAAACCATCGCAAACCATTGAACAGCTCATCGCACTTCGGCGCAGACCAGCGCACTTCACGCGTGGCCATCAAACTTTATGATCTCCATTGCATCTACGAGTCATACACACATACATGTATATATTCCGATTTTCTAATAATGGTTTTTATCATTTTAAGTCCCGTAGGTATTGCCCAAAGAAATAGGGTTTATTTAAGGGTTTACACATCTTCATAGCTAAAATATTTTGATACTTATATCACGAAGAGATATCTATGACAAACATTTCTTAAATTGTCAGTATATAAATTTAGATTTTTTTTTAAGAAACGTAGGTTTCAGCTACAGCAGACTAAATTGGCTTTTGATGGATTGAAGGCTTATGTAAAAAAAAGAAAATGTGGTATAATTGCTAGTGAGTCAACTATTCAAGAAAGTTCAAATCAAGAGGAATGCTAGCAGTTATATCTATACGACCTTCAATAATGAAAAAATACGGGAACTGTAAAGTCGGTTATTAAAGGCCCCGCCCCGACATGAAAAAAATATGAAACAATTCAATTGAGCAAACTAACGCCTTTTTTATTTCAAAGCTACATGTATCTTGCCACAAAAAAAGCCCAAATACATGTATATAACAGAATTGATGTTACGAAAACCACTGAACTATGTGCTTTTGACTTTGGACAGACACATAAATATACAGAATGTTGTGAATGTGTATAGGCCCTTTATTGGTCATATAGCTCTACACTCCTATCTAGTTTATACATTCTTTGGCTTTCAAATATTTAGCATTGAGCGTTCCTAGTGAAAGTAAACCCAGAAAAGCGTTATAGATGCATGAAATTTATAAAGTGTTGTTTTGTGAGGGGATCAAAACGTAGGGATCGATGTTAATGTCTGTTTTATATGTGCAATAATATCGGCCTTCTAACTTTAGTGAAACTCTGCAGTTGTTCAGTGACGGATCCAGGGGGAGGGTTCAGGGGGTTTGAACCCCCCTTTTTTTGGACGATCAATGCATTTGAATGGGGACATATAGTTGGAACCCCCCCCCCCCTTTTTGCCCTGGGTTGGGAACCCCCTTTTTTAAATGGTTGGATCCGCCCCTGTTGTTTCATGTATTTGATATGCAAATTATCACAAAACTAAAAGGATAAGATGGATGAATTAATAGTTGATCGTTTAACGTCCAGTGGCATATATTATAGATTCATTATTAGGGGGAGTACAATAATTATGATATAATGATGAACATTGGCAATCATACCACAACTTCTTTTTTATAAGAACGTACATGTGTAGATTTTCGTCTTTTACTGTAAACGACAGTGTCCCCGGGAGTCAAAGCCGAAATCAAACTTGTGTAGATTTCTGAAACATACATTTCATTATTTAACCCAATGTAAAGCAAAACAAATAATACCGTTTTGAGCAATAAAACCAAGGCAACCCTTTATACTAGTCAAAAGTTGCTGGATCGTGATAGATGCATACGAAACTTCAATTAATTGTTTGTATTTTTCAATCTTTTATATCCGATAAAGATGAACACAAAATCTATCAGATAAAAACTACCGATTTTTCTATAAGATAAAATTTATCCTTATCGGAGTCAAATTTGTCATATGGATTCATAAAGGACAAAAAAGTGTCCTCAGTAACGGAACAAAAAATACCCCCATGGTAAAATAATCCGTCATTCTTTAATACAAAGTACTATTGTGAATTATTTTTTCGGATATTAATCTTTTAGACATACATTAAAAACGGTGTCCTTGATATGCAACCATGAACACAATGAAAAGTGAATCTGTGAAAGTGTTCCATGTTTATTCCATTTAAATAAAGACTTGTTATGATAATACAATATATTTAACTATTTTATCTAAAAATTTAAATAAAAAAGAATATCTTAAGGAATACGGGATATATTTGCGTGATCTTATACTTGTTTAATTTAAAAAATGCCTTCAAATACATATGTTTATTTGTATTCAATTTTCCACAAAACATATTTAGCTTATTTTAAATGAAAATAAAGAACAGAGAATAAAAACACTGTTGAAGAGAAAATACATATTCGTGTTAAATTCGCCTCAGTTTAATTTGTTAATTCAAGTCTGACATCTAAAATCTTAATCCGCAATCCACATTTACCCGACAATCTTGTATATTGTATTTTCTCAATGGAATAACCTTACGTGCACGTGACCATCAGAAACGAAGACAAAAATTATATTTGTAATGGTATTTACCAAAACTTAAATGTTTGAATATTTAGTAGAATATGAATTTGCCAAATAAGCGAAGAATTATAATCTTGCATTGTTCAACATTGCAGAAATGACTCAAGTTGAACATTAATCATGTTAATACTGATTCAATATTTTATTATAGGTTCACCACATACAAACATAAAATGAGAATCACAGAAATAAACATAAAATATTAAAACATTTGCATTGTATGTACCAATCTTAAAAAGAATAATGAGAGACTTTTAAGACACAATATATTTACTCATTTACATTTAAAATTTACAGTGTCCACCTGTACTATATGAAAATAAAACATTTTTTCTTTGAGAACTAGGAAATAAAATGCCGTTTCTTTTCAATGAAATATTGTTGATGTTTTTGGCAACTATAGCAGCAACATTGCCGTTATTAACTAAAAATATAAATTTTTCGCTATCTGATAATTAAAGGTTAAAATGTTCATTAAAATGTTTAGCTTAATGTATCATAATTTGTCTTAAATCTACATATAATGGGCATTTTAAAATGACATGAAGTTCATCTTCAATAGTAGAGCTACAACACATGTCATCTCGTGGACTTCTTTTCTTTCATACTTTCCAGTTTCTATTTTTAGTGGAGCTACCCCACATCAAAATTTTGCAAAAGCACTGTTGTTTTTTATTGGCGGAATATTTTTTAACAAATAACAGTTGGCCAACAGTATATTTTTAAGCCTATTTCGCTCAGTTGAATAGAAATTCCAATTTTAACTGTTCTGTCGTAGAAATGTCACCATGTTATTGTTTGTACGTAGAACATGTATCATTATATTAAAATGTGTCAGTCCCAGCCAAGATTCACTGAATAACCACGAAATGTTTACAGATGATAAATAAATTTTACACAAAAATTCATGAATCTGTATGAACATTATGTACGATGAAGTTAATTAAGTGTTCACAAGAAAGTAAGTATGAATGTAAATTTTATTTAAATTCGGAACATATATATACACTTTAACCGTGAGATAAAATATAAGTTTTGATGAGCTCTATAACCGACTATCATATAAAAACCGCAATGAATGAACGTTACCCGATTAGAGATGAACGTTTGACAAATGCACGTTATCTGATGTACACAGTTATACACGATTGACGAACGCACGATACACGGTTAAGAATGAATGATTGATGAACGCACGATACACGCACGATACACGCACCATACACGATTAAGAATACACGATGCACGCACGTTACACGGAAAATACACGGAACGATGAATGATGAGCGCACGATTGGTACACGCACGATACACGCACGATACACGCACGCAACACGCACGATACACGATGAACGCACGGAATAATGGTCAGTTTGAATTTTAGAAGGTCTGTAAGTATGATAATTGTTATTGCAAAACATCCAGACTTACATTTCTTTCTTTATTTTCTTACGTCTGTGATGAATTTTTTCTATCGATATGATAAGCCTTTTCACCCCACACACAAGGCTATTTTAAAAGTACAAAATATAGAATTCGTACATGTATTGATGAACTTCAGTTTTCTGCCTATTGTTTTGTCATTATTATTTTGGTACTCTTCTCAGTAATTTTTGATTGCCAGCTTGATATCTCCCCTTTATAAGTAAAAGCTACACATGTTCTTTTGTTGTTGACGACTATAATATACGATAGATCGTGTCGTAATTTTGTAAAATAAGTTTGAACCCACATTTTATCTGCACTTTTTCCATTTTGGACTGTTAATTCAAGTTATCAAGTAAGTGCAGATAAATCTTAAATTTATGTTTGGATTTTAATCTATTATTCATCACTGAACCTTATTGAAACCTCCTTTCTGATTTGTTTCCGATTCGTTAAATAATTACCCTACATATTTTGTAGGAATGTATTCCGGAATTTTATTTTTTAGCATATATTTTTAGTTGGAGTAAACTGTTTTTCCAGATTATGGTTCATATTTTTGGACAAATCTCAAACAACTATGCAGTACTATTTGCAGATTCCCGATGATTCCAGCTTCCCATTTGTTAGCATTTTATTTCTATATAACAAAATGCCAGCAGCGCCTTGATATCTCCTAGTTGGTACAACATTTATATAGCTTGGGTTTCCTATCATGTTTCCCTTGATAGAGGGTTCCTACTGATTTAATGAAAGCTATTTACGGACGCCATAACGAGTTGGTGGGCCGTTATGGAATATCACGGTCACAGATGACATGGGTATCTTCCAATTGTCGTAACCACATTCCCGTCTTCCTTCTTCATCTATGAATGAGACTAATCACCTCACTAGTACTTGCATGAGAAACACTATGGGTTTCAACTGTGGAGCAGGAATTGCTTACCATTCTCAAGCACCTGTACGAGTTTTAGACGTTTACTTTGTGTCTTCCGCTTTTTGTCTTGAAAAATAATTTCATAAAGAAGTCGGTTTTTTTTTTATACTTTCAGTATCTCTTCTGATTCAAACAAACCAATTTTGTGTTTTGATATTGATTTAAAGGTTAAATTTTCTAGCTAGTATTGATATTTTTTAATCTGTTCCTTGACGTTTGCAATTAAAGTCATTGAAACATATTTTTACGTACCTGAATGCCTACAATCGCTGCAAATAACACGATTGTATCCACAAAAATGAACCCCGAGTCTAAAATTTACAAACATATACAATTTCGAATTGGTTTAAAGATAATTGAACATTGTCTTTTAGTCAACGTAACCTGTAAGTAAGTCTTACATTTTTTCAACTCAATATATTAAGACGATTCAGAAAAATTACAAAACACTACATACACGGGAGAAAAAGACAAAACACTACAAACAGGGCAAAATAAGACAAAACACTAAAAACAGGGGAGAATATGATAGAACACTACAAACAGGACAGAATAAGACAAAACACTACATACAGGGCAGAATAAGACAAAACACTAAAAACAAGGGAGAATAAGACAAAACACTACAAACAGGGGAGAATAAGACAAACCACTACATACAGAGGAGAATAAGACAAAACCGTACATACAGAGGACAAAAGGACCAAGAACTATATACAAGGGAGAATAAAACAACACTACAAACAAGGGAGAGTACGACAAATTACTACATACAGGGGAGAATAAGACCAAGCACTACATACAAGGGAGATTTAGACAAAACCATACATACAGAGGAGAATAAGACAAAACACTACAAACAGGGGAGAATAAGACAAAACACTACAAACAGGGGAGAATAAGACAAAACACTGCATACAGGGGAGAATAAGATAAAACACTATAAACAGGGGAGAATAAGACAAAACATTACATACAGGGGAAAGTAAGACAAAAAACTACAAACAGGGGAGAATAAGACAAAACACCACAAACAGGGGAGAATAAGACAAAACACTACATACAAGGGAGAATAAGACAAAACACTACATAGAGGGAAAAGTAAGACAAAACACTACAAACAGGGGAGAATAAGACAAAACACTTCAAACAGGGGAGAATAAGACAAAACACTACATACAAGGGAGAATAAGACAAAACACTACATAGAGGGAAAAGTAAGACAAAACACTACAAACAGGGGAGAATAAGACAAAACACTTCAAACAGGGAAGAATAAGACAAAACACTACATACAAGGGAGAATAAGACAAAACACTACATACAGGGGAGAAAAAGACAAAACACTACATACAGGGGAGAATAAGACAAAACACTACATACAAGGGAGAGTAAGACAAAACCATACATACAGAGGAGAATAAGACAAAACACTACATACAGGGGAGAATAAGACAAAACACTACATACAGGGGAGAGTAAGACAAAACACTACAAACAGGGGAGAATAAGACAAAACACTACAAACAGGGGAGAATAAGACAAAACACTGCATACAGGGGAGAATAAGATAAAACACTATAAACAGGGGAGAATAAGACAAAACACTACATACAGGGGAAAGTAAGACAAAACACTACAAACAGGGGAGAATAAGACAAAACACTTCAAACAGGGGAGAATAAGACAAAACACTACATACAAGGGAGAATAAAACAAAACACTACATACAGGGGAGAATAAGACAAAACACTACATACAGGGGAGAATAAGACAAAACACTACATACAGGGAAGAAAAAGATAAAACACTACATACAGGGGAGAATAAGACAAAACACTACATACAGGCGAGAATAAGACAAAACACTACATACAGGGGAGAATAAGACAAAACACTACATACAGGCGAGAATAAGACAAAACACTACATACAGGGGAGAATAAGACAAAACACTACATACAAGGGAGAATAAGACAAAACACTACATACAGGGGAGAAAAAGACAAAACACTACATACAGGGGAGAATAAGACAAAACACTACATACAGGGGAGAATAAGACAAAACACTAAATACAGGGGAGAAAAAGACAATAAAGAAATGAAACTACAAAGTATAAGTCGTAGTTTGACAGACAACACAATGGACAAAGGAAAATAAAAAAAAGTAAAAACAAGTGGTAAAACTGCTAATGAGCCAAGTATCCTCCAGAGTCAAACATAACGTAGATATAAGTAAATATAAGTCACTTTACGGCCTTCAACAATGAGTAAAACCCATTACGTTTGACCAGTAATAAAAGGCCTTGACAATGACAACTTGAGAAATAATATAAGTAAAGAAGTTCGCTTCTAAATTTAAAAAAATCAAAAACGTTTTCATAAATGAAATCTCTTCATAAAAAATATTATAAAAACAAAGGGGGAATGCTTCTTGGTTACAATTGTTTGACAAATCAAAAAACAACATTTTGAAACATTTATTTCGCGTATAGTTCTCTTAGACGACTTTGCTGTGATGTCATTTTGAGATTTTCTATGTATTTATATAAGAGAGGATCCAAGTTGTATACATTTGTGACGATTTAATATCATTCTTCTTTTTTTCCATCGCTCGCGAAAAATAGTTGTTTTTCAGCAGTTATGTTTGAGAAACATGTAATTGTTTACAGGCATTTCGTGTAATGAGAAACAACAGTCCCAATTTACCTGATGCGCCTGCTACATTTGCCACGCCTGCTACGGCCTGTCGTGAAACTTGCGAGCTAGTAGCTATTGGCAAAACTCTGTCTGTAACACTGGCTACAGCTGTAATGTAAGGATACATAAAACTATGAATACACATTTTGCCACTTAAATCTCTCTCTCTCTCTCTCTCTCTCTCTCTCTCTCTCTCTCTCTCTCTCTCTGTTTGTGCGTGTGCGTGTGTGTATAGTATGTATCGATTTCTTTATAATATTTGGGATTCAGATGTTCCGGAACAGTAAGCAGATCATGCTCCACATGTGGCATCCGTCATGTTGCGCATATGTCAGTACCGAATGTAGGCATGATTTCAACTTCACCACTTGGAACTCTTAGTTGAATAGCTTCCTTGTAAGCAGCAATCCCATATTAAAGAAATGCAAACTCTAGAATATCATATCGACTTGGAGATATATACTCCATATTTCATATACCATATTTTGGAGGAAAAAGTGAGAAAAAAATCTTATGTATCTCTTACTTGGTGAACTTGTAGATGTCGCCATACTTGTCACTGCAATATATAAATATACAACACTAGTACATTACTTATGGTTTTTCTGTGCTATATCAATCAATATTCAAGTTTAAATCATTACAGAAGTTGTCAGTAGTCAAAGCTTCTATACCGACATATTTTATAACGTACCTTTCTTGAATTAGAAAATTATTATGAAACCAAGGTTTCAACTCCCTCAAAGTTGATCTCAGTTGAATTTGACCATCATTTCTATGTAGTTGTGGTAATAAACTTCGTTATGTGTTTATATTATTTGTATTTAGTTGTGGTAATAAACTTCGTCGTGTGTTTCTATTATTTCTATGTAGTTGTGGTAATAAACTTCGTCATGTGTTTATATTATTTCTATATAGTTGTGGTAATAAACTTCGTCATGTGTTTCTATTATTTCTATGTAGTTGTGGTAATAAACTTTGTCATGTGTTTATATTATTTCTATATAGTTGTGGTAATAAACTTCGTCATGTGTTTATTTTATTTCTATATAGTTGTGGTAATAAACTTCGTCATGTGTTTCTATTATTTCTATGTAGTTATGGTAATAAACTTCGTTATGTGTTTATATTATTTCTATGTAGTTGTGGTATAAACTTCGTCATGTCTTTCGCCTTTATGTGTTTCACCGTCATGTGTTCCGGTACTGACACATCCTTCTCTTTCAGAGTTGTTGCTTTCAACGTTCCTGATAAAGGTAAATTCAGAAATGCTCTTCAAACGCATAACGTTTATAAAGTGCTATTTGTAATGGCAGTTAAAATGATAATAAACAATCTTTCAATAAGGCGATCATACTTTATAATTCAGATTCATTCCTATATTGTTAGAGCGATATATGAATGTACAAAAGAAACACATAGTTGTAGTGCTAAAGAAGTCCGGTAATGCTTTATTGAGTCTTGTCTTAATATGCACTTAATACACAATCTTAAACATGGTAGTATTGCTATTAGACATTTTTGTAATCTTCTCATGAAGCGCATGTATAGTTATAGCTATCTGTCGTAATATACAAATAAGGAGCTTTTGAATATTAGAGCTAGGCAAATGAATTAAGTTACCGATGTTTAAAAATTATTATCACATAACCATTAAAGAAATACAAATCAGGTTAAATTAAAATGCTGAGAGAAACACATAAACTCCAAAAGTAGTGAGGCCGAGTGCATGCTTCGATAGGGTTAGCGTCTCCTGCCATCAATGCATCATCCGCCATGTGAACCCACACGACAATTGATATATACATGTAAAGAACCAAAACCGCAAAAAGCTGTCACAAATTAGTTAAGGCATAAGGCACAGACACCTTGTATCATTAATCCCATTCGAGATGTGAAATTAAAGTTGTGCTTATTTTATTTTCTTTCCCTCGTGGCTCTGTTAGATCAGATTTTGTGTTAGGAGCAAATTGTACATGAAAATATTACTTACTCTACATTGATTTAAAGAACTTTGTCTGGATGTGCCCCCATCAGAAACGCTCAAGATATGACATATGACCAAAAGGATCTTTAAAGTTTGTTCTTATGTTGTGCTGTAACGCCACTGTCCCAGGTTAGGGAGAAAGTTGAGCGCTCACAAACATGTTTAACCCCGCCACATTATTTATGTGCCTGTTCCAAGTCAGGAGCCTGTAGTTTAGTGGTTGTCGTTGGTTCATGTCTGTCATATTTGTTTTTCGTTAATTGTTTTGTTATAAATTAGGCCGTTAGTTTTCTAAAGTGAATTGTTTCGTATTTTTCATGTCGGGGCCTTTTATAGCCGACTATACGTTATGGGTTATTCTCATTGTTGAAGGCCGTACGGTTGCCTATAATTGCTTACATCCACTTTATTTGAACTTTGGTGGATAGTTGTCTCATTGGCAATCATACCTCGTTTCCTTGTTTTTATCTTAAATGAATAGTCAAATTCGTCTTAAGTCAACTTTTATTAACTGAAATATATATAAGCTAATACAATGGGACAAAGATATCCAAAAACAAAAATTAATGAAGTCAAAGGAAAATTCAAAACGGAAAGTCCTTTATCAAACGGCGAAATCAAAAGCTCAAACACATCAAACAAATGAAAAACAACTGTCATATTCCTTACTAGTACTTAGTACAGCCATTTTCTTATATGGAAACATCAAAGGTCAAAAGACAAATATGGGAATATTAATATGTCACCGCACTGCTTTCAATAATGAGTAAAAACCCATTCCATAAAGCAAGATATGACAGGTCAATGGATAATTTTGACGAATTCAAAGGAGAAAACCAACGGTCTCATTGATACTATAATAATAAACGAAAAAGCGTTTTGGCCCAATTAAGTTAATTCATTGCTTTTGTAATTTTTGTAATATCAAAAGCATCATACTTTACCCTTTAGGGTACAATTAATGGTATGTTTTTTATGGTGGTAGATTGTCATACATTACCTGCTGGGGCAACTGTGGTGGCATCACACTCTGCCTGTGTCTTTGTACACGGTAAACAAACTGGAACTGCTGTCACTGGTGGCACAGAGGTAACTGTATTTCAATCATAGAAAACAAAACATCATTATTAAGATAACTTTGTAAATAACATAATATCTTGAATATCACTTCAATTTTCAAACATTCGTAGAACTTTCAGCTCCAATAGTTTTGATTCAAGATAAAAAATGGTTTCCAGTACTAGTGAGCGTTCACATCTTGTGTTTCATTGTCTGTAATGCGTACATTTTATATATACTGTGGATTCATTTATTTCCGTTGGTACCAATTTTCTTGGATTTAGTAACATTGTATCTTCGTAGATATTTGATGTCGGAGTTTTGCCAAAGTCTGCATATAACCTTATAGACAATTCGTATTTCGTTGAATATTTTAATTCGTGGCTGACTTATACCCACCAAAAGAACGACAATTGGTATTCAAAGAATTATAATGAATCAACATTACGCAGAAACTTATTAAAGATACCAGGCCTATAACTTGGAACGCATAACGTGCATTTCGTCTACATAAGACTCATTAAAAACGCAAAACAGTTGGATGGCCAAAGTAAATGCTAAGTAAAAGATGATTATGAAAAAAAAAAGAAAACTCCGAAACTTTGTGCCAAATACACTAAAGTTTCGGATAATTTAACCTTTATACACAAAAAAATGAACACAACAAAAAGTACTGACTACTGGTCTTGTGATTCCCTCGTGGGAGAAACCCCTAACAGGAATGGCATCAACCAAGTGGTTGAACAAACTCATCAAAGATACCAGCCTTGTAATTGCATACGCAAAACATGCATTTCAAAAATTTTTATGGATATTTGATATGCAGTAAGAGCAAGCGGAGCTGGATCTGCACGTTGAAAATAATGATACATGTAACGTCTAAACTTTCGGAGATAAAACAATTTGAATATCCAGCAAATAAAAACACGAATGTATAATTGACAGTAAATATCGTTAAATATAATATCTAAACTTTGGTAACGAAATCCCTGACTTAATAATTTACTAGTAATACATAGTTTACGCTTATTGAAATCCAAAACGTCACTACAGACACGGGCATAGCGAACGAGTTGGGATATATAAACAACGTAAGACGGTGCCAAAGGAACATCAGCGTCCAAAAAGGGAAAATTAGCAATAGGGAAAGAAAAATCATCCCTTTTGTCGTAGATTTTTGTGTAGAGTTTCTGGTGTAATACTGAAATATCTAAATCTAGGAAAGGAGAGTTATTGCTTTTAATATTTGATTTATTTAAAGTAAGTTCCTTTGGGTAAATTTCAGCAGTTTTATTTAGAGAATCCTTGATTATTTAACGAAAAAATATCATCAAGCTTAAGATAACTGTAAGTGTTGTTGAATTTATCAATTAAATGGAATTTAGACGGTTCTTTACTGAGTTTGGCCATAAACTGTGATTCATAACAGTAAAATCTACTATTAAATTGCATACGCAAAACATGCATTTCAAGAACTTTTATGGATATTTGAAATGCAGTAAGAGCAAGTGGAGCTGGATCTGCACGTTGAAAATAATGATACATGTAACGTCTAAACTTTCGGAGATAAAACAATTTGAATATCCAGCAAATAAAAACACGAATGTATAATTGCCAGTAAATATCGTTAAATATAATATCTAAACTTTGAATTTTTATTTCTTGAAAACCTGTCATACCCATTTTCCTCAACAATAAGTTTAGCTATATAGCAAATACATTTTTATTTTCATTTGATATGAAAATTAAAAAAAAAGCATGATTGGGCCACTAAACTCGTCGTGCTCAGTCTTTAGTTTTCTATAAAGTGTGTTGTAATCTTATATCTGGTTTTTCGTCGTTTGTCGATTTTTGCCATTTACTGTTTATCTTTGACTTAATAGTGTGGTACATCGTCCGTCTCTTTTTAACATGCTACTTACACGAGACATAGTCAACCTTTCGGAAATAGTTGGAGAATTTATGTATGTGCAAACATTCGAACATACCATGAATTATTCACGTGATATAGGGTATATGTCAATGAGACAGTAACCAAACGACAAAAAAAAACCAAATGACATATGTCTAAATTCAAATTTTAACATTCGATACATGTATAAAATACAGTCAAACTAGTTTTTTATATCTCAATTTCTACCGTTCAATCTCAATCAATCGAACAACAAAAAAATATATAAGGACCGTGCAGAAAATCAGTAACAAACTGTACGGAATACTACATGTATGTTACCGGTTATTTATAAATAATACGTCCGTGAACATGAAAATTTCGCATCGAATACGTCGGCATATATGCACTTTTTTTATCCAACTGATACCTCATCCGTCCCTGAATCATGCATGTACATCTCTGTCCATTCTTTCTAGAGGTGTTAAGGCTTTAAAGATAGACACGCATAAACTGTTTGAAAGATATTCTTGACACAAGAATTTTTGATGAAATCAAAATTCGAAGAGTTTATGATTTGATCAGACAAAAAACCTAATTTCCTTTATCAAAATAAGTAGCGCTATCTTTATTTGTTTATCAAATTTTAAATAGAAAATTAAAGAGATAAGGGCTCAGTGTGCATCTTTTTATGTGTGACATAGAGACTGATGCATACATAGTTATTCATGTTTATGGGTAATCAGATGTCATATAAAATGTTAACACCAGGATTTAATTCAGGTTGCGTTCTCAATAAAATAAGATTTGTTAAAAAAAATATGTTGGTGGCCATTCCGGTATTAATATAAAAATAAGGACATGTGGTATGATTGCCAATGAGACAACTATCTACCAAAGTTCAAATGAAGTGGATGTAAGCAATTATAGGCAACCGTACGGACTACAATAATGAGAAAAACCCATACCGTTTGGTCGGCTATAAAAGGCCCCGACATGAAAAGTATGAAACAATTCAATTGATAAAACCATCGGCCTAATTTGTAACAAAACAATTTGCGAAAAAACAAATATGACAGACATGAACCAACGATAACCAAAGAACTACAGGCTCCTGACGTGGGACAGGCACATAAAGAATGTGGCGGGGTTAAACATGTTTGTGAACGCTCAACCCTCCCCTAACCTGGGACAGTGGTGTAACAATACAACACAAGAACAAACTATAAAAATCAGTTGAAAAAGGCTTAACTCATCAGATGGATACAAATAGAAATACATCTAACAAAAAACACAGAGTGGACGTGGACGAGTACTTATACATCCCTACAACAAAAAGACACTAAGTACAGATTTGAGAGTACTCGCAGTTACAGCTAGTTCAAAGCCAATAACAACTAATAAAAAAAATCATGTATCTAAGACTAAAATATCAATCAGTACACATCCAACATCCAATGGATTTAGTGTAAAGACGTCATTAACAGTCAGAGAAAAACATGACCTTGTGCAATGCCAAACTATAGGTATCGATAGATTGTAATACCGTAAAAGTACATATGTGTAATATTTAGTATGATTTTAATTTACTGATAACAAAATCAATATTTATACCAATAAAACAATATTCAAAGATTTAATTACAGTGTTGAATAGGTAACCCTTTATAATAAGTTTATTCAAAGGATTGATACGTTTACCCGGATCGTATCTAAGTTTCCGGGCTCGTTTTACAACATAACCGTATAATGTAGGATGTGATATTCCGTTTGAAAAAAGTTTTCTACAGGTACAGCCAAACTTGCAGACAAAATCTTTGTATCTATGGAAGAATTTGGTAAAGGTTTTGAGTAATTTGTGGTAATCCCGGACTTAATAATTTACTAGTAATACATAGTTTACGCTTATTGAAATCCAAAATGTCACTACAGACACGGACATAGCGAACGAGTTGGGATAAATAAACACCGTAAGACGGTGCCAAAGGAACATCAGCGTCCAAAAAGGGAAAATTAGCAATAGGAAAGAAAAATCATCCCTTTTGTCGTAGATTTTTGTGTAGAGTTTCTGGTGTAATACTGAAATATCTAAATCTAGGAAAAGACAGTTATTGCTTTTAATATTTGATTTATTTAAAGTAAGTTTCTTTGGGTAAATTTCAGCAGTATATTTAGAGAATCCTTGATTATTTAACGAAAAAATATCATCAAGCTTAAGATAACTGTAAGTGTTGTTGAATTTATCAATTAAATGGAATTTAGACGGTTCTTTACTGAGTTTGGCCATAAACTGTGATTCATAACAGTAAAGTCTACTATTAAAGGGACACAATTGGTGGCCATAGGAATACCTACAACCTGTCGATAAACTTCATTGCCGAAACGTAAATAAATGTTGTCAAGGAGAACATTTAGTGCTTTAATCATCTCATCCCACCTCCAGTAAGTATATCTAGCATATTTACCTTTCTCATTAGAGAAAAAGGCTTTATATGAGTTGCAGCAAATAAATTTGCAACCAGATTTATCAAACGACCATCTAATTAGATAGGAAAATTTTTGCTTGATAAGATTGTGTGAAAGTGTAGTATAAAGAATGGAAAGGTCAAAACTGTCAGCCGAATCAAAAGGACCATCAAAAGCACATAATTTATCAAAAACATCCAAAGATTTTTTTACACTCCAAAAATGGTTAATTCCACTGTTTTCATATGTTTTTTAAAAAAATTAACGATAAGTTCTTTGATAGTAGTTAAGGAACTCGAAAGATTAGTAGTAGAACACTTACTAGATGCCGAGATGAAACGATATTTTACGTTTTTTTTTTTTTGTAGTTTAGGTAATCAATACATAGCAGGGACCTTCAAATGTTCAGAGGAGGCCTTAAGCTGAGCAGTGGTAGTGACATGATTATTTACTATACGACTCTCTATCGAGCGTACGGCCTTGAATGTAGTTGAATGTATAATTTCATTCTTAAGGACTTCCGTGTAGTATTTACGTCATACCACCATCACATGGTTGACTGCTTTGTCGGCCGGTACGAACACAAAACGCTTTGATAGTACTTGAATTTTGTTATCAATCTTAGAAATGAGCGTATTACTTACTCTTTTATTTATTTCTAAATTATTTTCGAAATGTGATATGGAATATCAACAATATTCATACATTCATTTGAATAGGAATCAAGTGACGTTTTGTCAGATTTCTCCCGTTTACAACATTTATTACAATAGGACGAAAGAGCATCTTTAATAACCAGACGACAATCTTCCCAATTTATTTTCAACGGTGGACGATATGTTGGTCCTTTTAACAGAAAGTTTTTAACCTCTCGGTCTTGAACGATGTTGAGGTCTCCTGTAATAACATGACCATAGGGATCTTATCTAAACTTCGATGTTTCACAGTCTCATTTTAAAGGAGCATTATTTTCTATACTGACGTCTGATGTAACTGATGTATAATTAAGAATTAACTTCTACTGTTTTTTTTATACGAATAAGAAATTATAGGTGGCTCAATGTTATCAAAATATGGAGGTATACAGTTTTGAGCGGTAGAATCATGAAAAATACTAGACAAATTAATAAAATCAATACCTCTATTAATGTATTTTATTTTTAGAAAATACGTTTTACGATCTTCAGGTTTGTCAATTTGAGGGAACATCCTTTGGTGACAAAAAGCTGTAATAATCCGTGTACACTCAAATTTGGGACTGAAAAACGATATTGTATCACACTAGTTATAAATATTATGTAATTTACTAATTACCATTTGAACCAGTTTGCATAATAATTGATGTCTACCATTGCTTTTAAATATAGATAAAAAATCATCAAGTGTAAAGTTAGAACGATGTTTATTTCGTTGATTGCGGTTAATGCGATTGCCATGAGACCTATGATTGCGTTGTCTTTTATCAACAATAGTCATGATATCAATAGCGGAAGTTTTAGATATGTTACCTTGGCCCATGATATTGTCATTTAGACTTAGGTGATACGCTGTCTGTTGTCGTTTAATCCAAGACAGTTCGCAAATTTTACGGGAATCTTTAAACTATTTATGTGATTGTCCTGGTTGTTTATTGCCGGTTTAAAGTGGTTGGAATTTGATAAATTTAATATTGTGTTTGTGAAAGTGGCTGGCAACAAATGCTTTTGACACAGGTTATCATTTAATCAAAGAGCAAATATATCTACATATAAATTTCCATTAAAATCATAGCAAAATCATGGTTTTTATAATACTGACACCAGGGATCAATTTGAAATGCTTATTTTACTTAACATCATCTTATGGTTAAATTCTATCACACATAGATGTTCTCTTTGTGTTTTTTTTTCCATAAACAAACTTTTACTTAATATTTGATATTTGAGAATCGTCTAGAAATAGCATGTTACACCTATAATAAACTTCTTTGTTGAAATCCTAGCATTAAAAAGATATTTCTCAATTTGTGATGTGTTTATCGAAAATAAGTATATACTATTTTCTATATCTTTGCAGAAAGGTTACTGACATCATAAACATGTGGAAATTTACTTATTTTACCTTAATTGCCTATTTCACGCATGCATAGCATTTGGTCATAATTTATATGAGCAACAGCTTTACCACTTAAAAATCTTTGTAAAATACAGTTTGAGATTTTATTTTGGTCAGGCTTTATGTACTTCTTCATTTTGAATTTACCTTGGAGTGCGGTATTTTAGTCAAAACGTTTTCTATATATATACATATCATTATATGTTAATGACAAAATCTTAAAATGAGGATAATATGCCAGTTTTTTTGTTATTTTAGTTTGAAGCGCTAATGCCAATATCCAAAATCAAATTAAAAAATATAAATACTGGAGTCCGACAGACTGCTATCGTTTGAAGATCTGAAGAATGTTTTTTTTTTACAATACAGCAATGTTATTTAGTACTTTTTATACGTTTTGATTTTCGAATTCCAGGGGCCAAAAAAGTGGCATTATCTTACCTTCTCATTTGTGATTTTTTTAAAAGTACGTTTTTACCACATTTTTACACCTAGATTCAATTTGGAATAACCTTTGGTATTCATATATCAATTTTCATTCCAATCCAAACAAAATAAGATGTTTATATAAATCCTAAAATTTAAAACAAAAATTAAGTTTTTTTATTGAAATTTTACACCGAAATAAAACAAAACTCAATTTTTGTCATTGAAAATAATTTTTCAATAGAGATAATAACTTTCATGTAATTTTTTGGAAAATATAGCACAAAAAGATGGTTTAAAATTTGTGTGATTTGTTAACATAAACGTTTTTACCACAATGTTTTCAACATTTAAAATAAAATTGACATGAAACTTCCTTTCATAGTTATCATCACTTGAGTGTCTACTTATTTTGAAAATCGGTTGAGGCAGTCTTGACTTACTGTACGACATAGAAGTGCTGACGGACGGACAAACAAAGTCACGAAGAAAAATACACTTTTGTGTAAGCTCATAAGAAAAATACGATTTGGTGTAAGCTAATAAAAAACAGTTATATGTAAAACTCTGTTTCATCAGAGTTGTTATTTGAATATAAATCTACCTTCAATTAGACAATATATATATCCATACTTATTAACAATCAAATGAGGTGGGGCATTAAGGCCAAGTTTTGGCCCAAGAAAATAAAGTTTTTGAGATCTATTCATATTTGCACATAATGTTTGAAAAGGCATAAAATCAAGAAAGCATTAAGATTTAACATGCACAGTTTTCATAAAGACAAGGAAAATTGCAGAATTTATGCAGTTTTTTATCATTATTTTCATTCTGGAAACATCGTGTGCAGCCAAGATACAACAACATAATGTAAGAGAATCTTTATTATAACTATTAACACATTATCACCAAATATAAACTTCAAGTTTTTCTTGGGTGCGCACATACTTTTCCAATCTAATGAACACTTAGAAGTTAATGTAAAACAAGGAAAATCAAGAAATTTTACAAAAAAGACACATTTCGTCATGGTTTGTTGTCATGGTAACTTGATCAATGTGAAATTTGTATCTTTTTTCTGAACAGCTTGGACTTTAGTATAGTTAGAACAAATTTAAGAATATGTACGATAACTTTTCGATTTCTACTAAAATTTTGACCAAATGAGGGCATGACTGCTCCTACATCTTTAGATTAGTTACTTACCTTGCACGCAGCAGATATTTAAAATGAAACTGAAGTCTATAAAGCTAAAACAAAACATCGATTAATATCAATATTGAATAATGATAATACCTGTCGATCTCCGAAGAAAAGATGCATCCGAAGTTCTGTCCTGACAGAAAGTACACGTTGGAAGGTTCCTGGCGTCAGTTGGATTTGTTGTTGACGAGATAGCTCTTACATTCGGAATGGTATTAGTGTTTATATCTGGAAATATTAAATCATAAAATGTATACAAGGTTTATAGAGACATCTTTTTCTCACCCAAATTCTTAATATCTAGAAAGTATATATATTAAGTATATTTCTTAAGAAGCAACTCTAAGATATTTGACGTTCGCCTTATTTATATAAGTGCTTCTAACAGTATGCTTGGAGATATACGGCTGCATAAGTCTGTTTTTTCAAATTAATAAATTTCTTTCCTGGAGCAATGTTTAAGAAAACAATGAAAATCTACCAGACTGATATTTTTGATGAGTTTCTACATGAAAAAAAAAACATTTAACAAAATCTACAACTGCAATACACATACAGAAATCACCAAAATTATTTTTTCTGTGCAGTGTTTTGTGGCGTGTTATTTGGTTTTTCCTTTTTGTTTCCTTTTTGACACGGTGTTGTCTATTTTGTTTTCGACTTATGTTTTTTTTTATTATCCATTGCTATCCTCATCCTTACGAAAAATAGCATAACATGACAATCTTGAATAGTATAATTTGAACACGTTTTTAGACTGATAAATATCACTACAGGTAGCAACTACCTATACGTGGAGTTGTCGATAATTAATGGTATGTTGTGTACTTAATGTACTCAAATATTAACAGCAATAACTGTCCTTTTCTGAATTTGAATATTTCAGTTTTACACGAGAAACTGTACACCAACTCGCTATGTCCGTGTCTGCAGTGACGTTTTGGATTTCAATGAGCTTATTGTATGTGTTACTGGTAAATTATTAAGTCAGGGATTTCGTTACCATGAATTACTTAAAACCTTTACTAAATTATTCCATAGATACAAATATTTGGTTTGCAAGTTTGGCTGTACCTGTAGAAAACTTATTTCAAACGGAATAGCACATCTTGATTTTTTACGGGATTGTTGTTCACCGAGCCTGTAATTTTCGATACGATCCGGCTAAAGTTATCAATCCTTTAAATAAACTTATTTTAAAAGGATACCAATTAAACACTGTAATTATATCTTTGAATATTGTTTTATTGGTATAAATATTGACTTTGTTATCAGTAAATCAACACCATACTTAATATAATTGGTATACACATACGCACATTCACGCTACTACAATCTGCCGATACCTATATTTTGACATGGCACAAGGTCATGTTTTTCTCTGAATGTTAATGAAGTCTTCATACTAAATCCATTGGATGTAGGATGTGTACTGATTGATATTTTAGTCTTAGATACATAATTAAAATTTTGATTAGTTGTTATTGGCTTTGAACTAGCTGTCAGTAACTGCGAGTACTCTCAGATTTTTACCAAGTGTCTTTGTTGTTGTGGGATGTATAGATACATGTACGCTGCCACGTTCTGTCTGTGTTTTCGGTAGATGTTTTCTACTTTGAGTTGAGCCCTTTTCAACTAAGTTTTATATTTTTTTCTTATGTTATACTGTTGCACCACTGTCCCAGGTAAGAGGAGTGTTGAGCGTTCACAAACATGTGTAACCCCGCCACATTCTTCATGTGCCTGTCCCAAGTCAGGAGCCTGTAACTCAATTGTCGTCGTTGGTTCATGTCTGTCATATTTGTTTTTCGTATTTTTTGTTGTTGTTATAAATTAGGCCGTGAGCTTTCTCAATTGAATTGTGTCCTATTTTTCATATCAAAGCCTTTTATAGCCGCCTCTACAGTATTAGTTTTTCTCATTGTTGAAGGCCGTACGGTGCCTTTACTTGCTTACATCTACTTCAGTTGAATTTTGATGGATAGTTGTCTCATTGGCAATCATAGCACATGTCCTTAATTTTATATTATACTCCTTCAGGAACTACATGATATCCATGTTGAATACTAATTATCCATAATAATACAGGTTGGATGTTTATATTGGTGTAGTGGAATGGGGAGAGAGGTTCATTACAAATTATGTATAACATCGTGTACATATAATACCTAACATGTCGATACTCCTGGGAGGATTTCGATTATAAAGTACTCGTCTGAAATTTTCATACAGACCTGCTTTATTCTTCAAAAGTACGATAACTCGTTACAGATTGTTTCGTTTCGCCGATTTTTAAGCTTTCTCGTTGAAGTTCATATTGTGTGCATTCTTCGTTGCTTTTTATGTTTCTGTTAAAAATTTTGTCAATGGTGTTGGATTTTCGGTGTTCTACTGCGCCTATGCATATTAAAAAACCTTTCTTATCTCTACCTATTCGTTAGGTTTTTCAAATCCGCATATTTGTCTTTTACACCCAATTCAAACGCAATCATATATAATTATTTAAGTTTGTTTTATTTTAAGTACTTAGTAATAAAAGCCATTTTCGTATTGATGTTAGCGATTTTGTGAATTATAAGTTAACTAAGATTTCACCATACCTGCTAATAAGTAATAATAAAATGAATTGTCAGTAACTTTAGTTATCCTCATACACAGATAATACCACATGCTTGTGGTGCTGACGCCTGTGGTAAAGCTGACATCACTTCTAAAGAAAATACAACAAACTATGAACCTTTTTTTTTAGAAAACATTTTTTTTTAAATAATAATCTCTTTTTTAACGAATATTTATGTACAAGCATTGTTCCTTAATATTTCCTTGGTTATAAATAGAGTAAAGGCAACATTTTTATACCTTAATTCCATGAAATTTTTGTCTATGCTAATGAGGATAAAAGCTTAGAAAATCGCATAAACTCTACCTGAGAAAAAGGAAAATATCAAAAATACCGATCTCCAAGGAAAATTCAAAACCGAAAGTCTCTTATCAAATGGAAAAATCAAAAACTCAAACACATCAAACGAATGGAAAACAACTGTCATATTCCTGACTTAAATTAAATTACAGGCATTTCAGTATGTAGAAAAGGTTGGATTAAACCTGGTTTTATAACAAGCTAAATCTCTCACTTGCATGACAGTTGCATGGAATGTCATTAAATCGACAACAATGTGTGAGCAAACCAAATAGACAAGGTAAAAATGTCAAAAATTGGAGTATAGCAGTCAACATTATTTTATAATCCTAATCACTATAAAACAACAACTATGTCAAAAAAGAAAAACATAAATGGCATACAAACACTCTATAGACTAAGCACATAAGCAAAAATGAAAGACAAGACTACAAATGATGACCATAGCACAATAACACAATGGCGGGATATATAAATACCGAGCCACACTAAAACGATATTACCAAAAAATGGACTAAACAGTAAAGCTTAAAAGTATACCATGACAAATAAATAACCCACTATAACACGTAACCTAGATAATAAACAACGTAAGTACCTAGCAGCTATAATTCAAGACCATCATGTATTATTTGTGAAGTTTATACGGAATCAAAGTCTTGGTATCTTCCGATGAACCTTTTTCAGAAAAAAGGACAAGACTTTCTTTGACATAACCCTTGTTCATTTAATTTCTGCTCAGACATTGGTGACGTTTTATAAAGTCTGAGTAGCAGCTGCAAGCTTTTGAATACCGAAAAAGTTGGAAAATGTATTTTCCATAAGCAGGTAAAGTTGGTATATGCTGCTAAGATGGGGAAAATGTACAAACAAAAATTCAAAATTAAAATCGTCTCATTTGTCATAGATTCTAATACTGAGATGACCGCTTATATCAAATTAGAGGTACAAGTCTAAAAATGAGGCGGAAGAAACCGTGTCTGTTGTTTCTTTAATTTTTAGTTCTGGATGATATATTAATGAAACTTAAGATGAAGAAAATGGATTGTTAATAGAAAGAACATCATCAATATATCTGAATGTGAATTTAATTGATCTGGCTTCTGGAACGAGACTAGCAGAGTGAATATTTGATATGCGAATCAAAATCAGGATATGTAATATGATTGCCAATGAAACAACTATTCACCAGTGTTCAAATGAAGTAGATGTAAGCAATTATAGGCAATTGTACGGTCTTCAACAATGAAATAAACCCGTACCGTATAGTTGGCTATAAAAGGCCCGGCATAAAAAATGTGCAACAATTCAAACGATATAACTAACGGCCTATTTTATAATAAAACAATTAAAAAAAACAATCTAACAGACGAACCAACAACAACCGCAGACCTAAAGAGCTCATGACTTGGGACAAGCAACATACAGAATGAGACGGGTTTACACAGGTTTATGAACGCTAATCCCTCCCAAAACCTGAGACATTAGTGTAAAAAGTAAAAAAACAAAAATACCGCACTCCAAGGAAAATTCAAATCGGAAAGTCCCTTATAAAATGGCAAAATCAAAAGCTCAAACACATCAAACGAATGGAAAACAACTGTCATATTCCTGACTTGGTACAGGCATTTCTTTATGTAGAAAATGGTGGATTAAACCTGGTTTTATAACTAGCTAAACCTCTCACTTGTATGACAGGCGCATAAAATTCCATTATATTGACAACAATGTGTGAACAAAACAAACATCACAACATAAGAACAAGCTGTAAAAATCAGTTGACATTGGCTGAACTCAAAGTATCAGTAAGAGACAAAAAACAACTTATATAAAAACAGTAGACACAAAGCATCGATATCAGAGTACTTGAAGTTACTGAAAACCAATTACTTCTACTAGTATTTGACAAATCATGTTCGAGACTAAAGTAACAGTCAGTACACATCCAATGGATTTAGTGTAAAGACGTCATAAACAGTCTGAGAAACGCATGAACTTGTGCAATGCCAAAATATAAGTAAACAGTATCGACAGGATGTATGTTATGCATGCATCATCCGTTTTGCAATCCACATTCAACTCCGACATGTAAATAGGACACAATCGACAAATTCCCAGATCATACGACTATTCTGGTATCTAAAGATCTAAGATCGGAAAAAAACATGTCGCTTAGTATTGAAGAGAGATCTAAAATGTCATACGATATATAGTATATTTCTGTGGAGAATTATGACATTGACCATGTGAAAATTCTTCACGTTTGTCATAGATCATAGTTTTAAGTAGTTTCAATCGGTTTCAATATAAGAAAACTTCAAGTTAAGAAGCAGGTCTGCGAGCTGCATTAGTAACCATAATTTCAACTTCACTGGGTTAACGAGATGCGCACACTTATTAAAATATGGGTTATGTAGTTAAAGGACATTGTTAATATATCTGAAATTAGATGATGAGTCTTTTGTAGACGATACGCGCGTCTGACGTACAAAATGTTAATCCTGGTATCAATGATGAGTTTATTTAAAGAACTGGGCACGATATGTTTTGTTTTTGAGAAGAATATGTTTGAAATCTTTAACATATGAGGACACAAAAGAAATCGGTCAAAAAGCGGCAAAATTAGTATTTATAAGAATACCGACTGTTTTTATTTAATATAAATCACCGAAACTCAACAAATATGTTGCTGATCAAAACGTTTAGCATTTCTCTTCGATGTATCTTTTGTTTGCATAAGTGTTGTTCTTCACTAAGTACAATTTTACATGAGTCAAACAAGAAATATGTATCGACGGTTCCCATGGTTGTACAAAACGCATCGTTTAATGAAAAAAATTGTAATCGATCTTAGAATGAAGCTCATTGCAATATTTATAAGATATTTTTTAAAACTATTTTAAAATAATGAATATATCACACTCATTCAAAGCTCTGATTCCTCGCCCAGCTTTTGTTGTTCTGTTGGTCCTGTTTGTTTTTTATAAATCGCTCTTTATTTTATGAGCATCTGGTGCAGTATCATTGGTAACATTGATGTTATTCTCGTAGATAGAATTGGACAGAGTAAGAAATACGTTTAGGTTAATATTCGGTTAACCCTGATATCGTTCCTTAAAAGGAATTTTGTGAAATGTGTGTATCCAATATATGGAAAACAGGATTTTCATTGCTATCTTTGATAACAATACCAAAGTAGAGAAGGATATTTGTGATAACGGAAATGTGAAATATACGTCAATGTGACAACACAAACGATCGAAAGACATCTAGTAATGTAAAAGACATGTGGTTGCAAAATTTTATTTTGATACGGTTGTTGCTCGTATCTAAATATTAATGACATTATTAAAAATGAAGTTATTTTTCGAGTGATTACAGTCTTGCGTTATGTACAAGTTTAAGGCCGTACAGCTGGGTAGAACGAAATTGAAAAAAACTCCAAATACAAAAATCAGACAGGTGTCTTCTGAACATTGGAAATATCTATTTTTATAGATTTTAAAACTTTTTTATTTTCGATTTTCAGGTGCTAAAATGTAGTTTTATCATACCGTCTACTTTATGAATAGCTGATTTTTAAGCTTTGATTTTTCTACATTTAGTTTGACAAGACAGGTCTGGCCAGGAATACAAGATCTGAAATGTTGCTTCAACTCAGGAATATATGTTCCATGATGTGGGCAGTTTTACCACTTACAAATTTAGGCAAAAGTAGCTAACCGATGTTAATAAATCGATTTAGACAAATCACGACAGCATAGGAAAATTAAAGGGAATTGTATGAATTCATAAAAAAGGGTCGAAACCGGGTCCGTCGACACACTCGATGTGCGAATCAACACTCAGTCAAAGAGTTACAAGCGGGAATAGGAGACAATCATTAAAATTATAGATTAGACAACTATTTGGAATAAGATTGCAGAAATGTGTCGCAAGTGAGTTGAAAAACAGACACATCGTATCGGTCACCTAATTCGTGGTGCTGACCGTGAAACTGATGTAGAGTCGATTTTAGTCATGCTTTATTATAAGATGATTCTGATTATATTACTTTGCCTTTACCACCATCCCGTCCTCCATTAGATCGTGACATCATAGAATGAAACTTATCACCGAATTTATACTTGCCATATACACAGCCACTAATAGAACAGGATCTGCATACCCTTCCGGTGTTGGTACGATTACCCCTAGTTTTTTGGTTGGGAACATGTTGCTCAGTCTTTAGTTTTCTGTGTACTGTTTTGTGGACTTGCTCGTCTTTAGGTCTTTTTTCCAATGACGTTGTTAGTATTTTTCGAGTGATGAGTTTTGAAGTCAAACACTGACATTTAAAGAGCAAATGATTTTACTAAAAAGGACAAATAGAACAATTCTCAGCTTTCTGCATCGTTACTTGCCAGACTTACTGCCCGATACTTTATTGACTGCATTTTGGACATATTCGTCAGACTTTGTGTTGAAAAATGCTGTAGACATTTCAGCACATTACTTATGTTCGAATATTAATTTTGTAAACGTTTACCTTCTTAGTATACAAAACGAAAATTTTTGTCTACCTTAGAAAGAGTCCAAAGAGGACACATTACAATGTTATAAATTCAATTGAGTAGAACTCGGAAAATACCAAAATAATGTATAAAATAAACACTCATTTTAAACATGGAACTCAAAAGTAATCTACCCTAACAATGTATCAAACAAGCTGTTATTTCTAATCTGAGATTAAGTTCTTTTAAATTTGAAAATTGTGTTAAAATCGATTAGTGACAAA